TGCCTCATTCCACCAGAGTGCTTTTGTTTTCATCTGGTAGACAAGTTGGTTTTTCAAGAAGGATTTTATTTAAAAGGATTCAGTAATTTGCAAAAGGTTAAACCAAACCCAAACCAAACAAGTTGCTGCCCAGTTGATTCCTACTCATAAAAACCCTCCAAAACATAGTAGAACTGCCCTTAGGGTTTCCAAGGCTGCTATGGTATTTTCAATAACCTCATATGCATGTGAAAGCTGGACAATGGATAAGGAAGACCATAGAAGAATTGATGCTTTTGAGTTATGGTGTTGGAGGAGAATATTGAAAGTGCCACGTGCTGCCAAAAGAACCAAGAATATTGAAAGTGTTGGAAGAAGCGCAGCCAGAGTACTCCTTGGAGGCCATGATGGCCAAACTTCATCTGTCATACTTCGGACACATTTTCAGGAGGAACTGTTGTTGGAGAAAGATATGTTTGGTAAGGCGGAGGGTCAGATAAAAAGAGGAAGACCCCCAGCGACATGGATTGGTAAATTGCAGCATCAATGGGCTCAAGCGTGGCAACAATAGTGAGGTTGGCGCAGGATCGGGCAGTGTTTCGTTCTGTTGTGCATAGGGTGGCTATGAGTTGGTACTGACTCTATGGCACCTAACAACAACAACAACAACAATCTTTATGAAAGCAGACTATCACATGTTGCTCCTGTGGAGTGACTGGTGGGTTTGAATGACCAACCTTTTGCTTAACAGCCGAGTGCTTTAACCACTGCTCTACCATGACTCCTTATTAAAACGTTCACAGCAGGTTCAGAGCCTCTACTAATGGCATTGTGGATTAATGCACTGGACTACAAAGTCAGTTTGAACCACAAGGCCGGCAGTTCAAGCTTATCAGCTGCTCCCCAGAAACCAAATACAGTTTTGCTACAGGTCAGAACCGACTCAATGTTATTTAACAGCAACACCATATTCAACCTCTAGTATAAAGAACTCCTTTTACTATTTTTCTTGCTAATCTGTAGTCACTTCAGTATACTAAGCATTCTTAGATTCTATTACATCTTCTAGCTGGTGCCTGTGAGAAGAATTTAGTTTTCATAAAAGCTTCGTCTAATATCCTTCTCATCTCTAACTTGTGTATTACTTTACTTAGAGGAATATCAAAGGAGGAAATCTGGTACTCTGTTAGGAGGGAAAGAAGAGGAGTTTTATTGAGAGTTAATATCACAGGTGATGGGCAGAGCTACAAAACACTGCACTACTAAAATAGAGAAAGGGATTCGATATACATACAGAACAAAGGAAAAGCAGGGGGCTACTGATTGATCATAGGTAAGATCAGCTTTGGTTTGAAGTTCTTTGAAATTTTATGGTTAGTCAATTAGTAAGGAGAGAGTGATTCACTAAGTTGGTGACTGGTGCCAGATGGTTCAATTATACATGATTACATTCATGAACACGTTTTTCCTGGGAATACGTTTTTAATATCTTATTCCTATCAACAAATGGTTTACATTCTGAGCTTTGCTTCTTGGGAATGCATGGTAGCCCTATCATTCTTATGTCTGACACACTGCTTCCAGGTTGAAACCTTTCTTTATACATTGTTTCCTTTAGATCAATCCTCCACTAGGGGGTGGTGATCACCCACAATGGAATAGCCTTTCTGCTTCAAGGAACTTTCTGTTTGAGGAACTTTGTTGTTGTTGTTGTTGTTGTTGTTAAGTACCGTGGAGTTGATTCGGACTCATAGTGACCCTGCACAGGGTTTCTGAGGCTGTAAATCTTCACGGTAATAGAAAGCCTCATCTTTCGCCTGTGGAACAGCTGGTAGTTTCAAATAGCCGACCTTGAGGTTAGCAGCCCCATTCATAAACACTATGCTACCAGAGCTCTTTTTTTGTTGTTGTTAAATGTTTTATTGTGAATTATGTGATAGTTTACATGGGAGAACATTAATTTTACATTCATCCTATCATATATCATTTACCAGAACTCCTTTTGAGGAACTTTGGTGAAGAAAAATTATTTTAATGACCTTGTCACGCTAACAGGCCTCATCTTCATGGTGAGTAAGTCTTATGTGGAATATCTTAATGAAAAGACCACATTTGAGGAACATTTCTCAGTTGGGAAAGAATGTTAGTGATCAGTATGAAACATACCAGAGAGAAAAAAAGAAGGTGATGAAGTAACAGGATTATTGGTGAAAATCTGAGAAACCGAATGTTTTTATGTGACGTGTCTAATGGTTTTGAAGTACAGTATTTCATGGGTAAGATACACTGAACTGAAGCAAACAGCATTTTCTAATTGCTATTGTTAGGTATTGAGTTGGTTCTGACTCATAGCAACCCCATGTACAACAGAATAAAACACTTCTCAGTCCTGCACCAGCCTCACATTGGTTGCTATGCTTGAGTCCATTGTTTCTGTCACTGTGTTAATCCATCTCACTGAGGATTTTCCTGTTTTTCACTGACCTTCCTTCTCCAGTTTATAATTACAACAATAGAAATGATAAGAAATTTAAAATTTCTAAAGTAAAGTAGAATTTTTCTAATATTATCTCCAATAGAAAAACCAATTACTCATAATATCAATTAAGGAAGGTCGAGAACAGTTAAAGCAAGATACTATGTGTGGAGTCCTGGTGTGGCGCTATGGGCTAATGAACTGGACTGTAAAGTTGGTTTGACCCACACGATCCGTGATTCAAGTTCACCAGCTGCTCCTCAAAACCCTATACAGGGTTGCTATGGGTTGGGGTTGACTCTACAGCACTTAACAACAACAACATGTGTTAAATATGATTAACATCACGTGTAATTTGAGCACTATTGTTAGGAATACAGAGAGTAATCAGATTTCATTATGGCACAGGTACCTCCTTGGGCTGCAGTAAGAATGTCAATGTCATTCTAATGGCATTTCTCATTATTATTATTATCTTGGTATACATCTCTTGAAGCCCATGGCACCATCACTTAAGGCAATTTGCATATAAATCCCCCAAACCCTAACCTACTGCCATTGAGTTTGATTCCAAGTCACAGTGACCTTATATGGGGCCTCAGAGGCTGTAAGTCTTGACAGGAGTCAAAAGCTTCACCTTTCTCCTAAGGGGCCACTGGTGGATTTAAACTGCTTACCTTGACGTTAGGAGTCGAGTGCTTATCCACACCACAAGAGCTCCTTAGTTTGCATATATTTGGCTAATATTTCTACATATGCAATAATATCTTCAAGTCCTATCTAACAGTTGTGCATATGAGTCAGAGATGACTCGATGGCACTTAACAGCAACAACATAGCATACAATGAGGCAATACACTGGAATTGAGAGAAGTTAAATAAAAATAAGCAATATTGGAAATGGTACTGAAATTTGGCCAAATCCATAGAGAAGGAAGGACAGTTAATAAAGCTTAGGCAACTTGGGTGGACCTGCTTCAGAATCTTTCCCATCCTAGCATGTTTTGGTAAAACGAATCTGCACAATTTTTTAAAGACTTGTTAAAGTAATATTCAGGCATGCCACAAGATATCGCTTTATTGATTAGTCCCTCTTCTTTAATAATTGAATTTCCTGAGTGGTGCAATTAGGCAATCAACTATTAATTGAAAAATTGGAGATTCAAACCCACCCAGAGGTGCTTCTGCAGAAAGGCCTGGCCATCTGCTTCTGAAATGTCACAGCTTTGAACACCCTATGGAATACATTTCTACTCTGCAACAACTTGATGGTAACAGGTTAAGTTTGGATTTTCATTAGTAATTGATGCTCAGAATGTGAGATAAAAATCTTTTGGCTGGATGAATACAGGAATACATGAATGAATTCTTAAATGTCACCCACCTACCTCCATGGGACAAAGTTGTGCATATAAGGAAGGAAAGGAGCAAGAATGGTTAGATATAAAAATGCAACGCACACTTGTTCTCTTACCAGCTCCTCCCTTACCTGGTCCATTCTGACAGGTTTCAGAGAAGGGCTCTTATTTGCCTTATGATGCTGATGGGATGGGCAGGGAGCTATCTTGTACTCTGCCTGTGGACTAGGGGGCTTCTCAGTCAAGACTCTCAAATCCTTGGCATGAATGAAGTTTAAGGGAAATCATGTTGTTAGTTGCTAGGTGCAATCAAGTCGGTTTTGACTCATGGCGACTCTGTGCACAGCACAATGAAACCTTGCCTGATTCTGTGCTATCCTCACATTATTATGTTTGAGCCCATTGTTGTTGCCACTCTGTCAATCCATCTCATTGAGGACCTTCCTCTTTTTCTCTGACCCTCCACTTTACCAAGCATCATATCCTTCTCCAGGGACCAGTCCCTCCTGATAATAAGCCCAAAGAATGAGAGGCGAGGTCTCGCCATCCTCATTTCTAAGAAGCATCCTGGTTGGCACTTCTTCCAAGACACATTTGGTACTATTAAAATAGTGTATCAGACATCTTAGCAAAGGGAATATCAGAAAACCAGGTGAGCCACTGCAAAATTCAATCTAAGCTTCTGCCACTGCAAGGGTGCACAGAGTCAGCAGTTCTGCCTTCTGCCCCCGGAGCATGGTGTGTGCAGAATGCAGGAGCACTTGACAACCAACAGAGTCAAGTTGTAAAGCACATTTTTTTCCCCCAAAAGGGACCACAGTGTATTCTGTAATTTATTTGTATTAGAGATCTTTCACAAACAGAAATGAAATGGAGCAAAAAAAAAAAAAAAACCAAAACACACACACAACAGTTTATATGATGGAGTGGGTCTCCTTCACACACGTCCTGTAGTGCATTAATCATGATATTGCAACACCAAACAAACTGAAATAATCTGCTTGGAGTCACCATTTCTGATGATTGCTCAGGCTGTTTATTGCTAGTCAAAAGGATGTTATGAAACCTGAGTCAGACAGCCTTTGGCTTTGGGGGAGTACAAGGTCTATATAAAGCGGGAGCTTCCTGGTTGAGATAGTGGAACAGCACACAGGTAGACAGTCCGCAGTCATCTTGCATCAAGAAAGAAGACAATGGCTCGTATGTCCAACCTTCCTCTGTTCCTGCTGCTCCTCTGGGGTGTGGGGTCTCAAGGCTTCCCAGTGACTTTGGAAACACAAGAGCAAGATATGGAGACAGTCCAGGTAAATACTGAATTTCACATGCAAGAAATGACATGCATTTTTCTATAGTAGTAAAAGGAATGTATTGAAGGATGCATTTCCTTTAAAGAGAACTCTTTTCTTCATCAGAAAGAGCATCTTCTTCAGAAATCTATCTAGCTAGGCACAGACCATCCTATTTCAGTTGGAGGTGAGAGGGACTGAAAAGAACAAAATGCAAATCTGACTCTACTAATTATAATTCCCACTTCATGGTAACTAATGGTAGGGAGAGTTCTACTTTGAATTAGTATTTTTCAGCAATAGTAAGGATAATTAGGATCATGAAAATCTAAATAAAACTTCAAAGGTAGTTCTCTTCTTTAGCTGAAACTTCATGCTGTCACTTTTGTCTGTTTTAATGAGAAAGAGTTGCCAACCAGCGTTTCAGTAATTTTATCATTTACCAGAAATACTTGGAAAACTACTACAACTTGAACAATGATGGCGACCAAATTGAAAGGCAAAGAAAGAATGGTCTACCGGTTGAAAAACTGAAGCAAATGCAGGAATTCTTTGGGCTAAAGGTGACTGGAAAGCCAGATGCTGAAACTCTAAAGGTGATGAAGCAGCCCAGATGTGGGGTGCCTGATGTGGCTCGGTTTGTCCTCACAGAGGGACATCCTCGGTGGGAGACAACACACCTGACCTACAGGTAACCAGACGGAGTAGTAGAAAACCAATGCTATTCCCCGCTAGAGTGATAAGAAATAAAGTCCATGTGTCTTTGCTCTCTTCTATTTCATTTTTAGAATTGAAAATTATACTCCAGATTTGCCTCGTTCAGAAGTGGACAATGCAATTCAAAAAGCCTTTCAACTCTGGAGTAATGTCTCACCCCTGAAGTTCACCAAAGTCTTTGAGGGTCAAGCAGATATAATGATATCCTTTGTCCGGGGAGGTAAGCTCTTCGTGTATTGTGAAAGTGTTCTTTTTTAAAGATTAACTTGCTCCCAAACCTCCTCAGCTTTGCATCTGGAATTCATTTTATAAAAGGAGTGTTGGTTTTATAAATTTAAGGAAGGAAACAGCATCACACTTGATGGATGTCTGTTGACCTCTTAAAAAAGCAGTGTATGCCCTCTTGGTGAACCTAGACAAGAAAGAGTTTTGTTGAACTCTGTCTGTTTTCAGATCATCGTGACAATTCTCCATTTGATGGACCTGGAGGAAACCTCGCTCATGCTTTTCAACCAGGCCCTCATATTGGAGGGGATGCTCATTTTGATGAAGATGAAACATGGACCAACAACTTTAGAGGTGAGTCCGCCAATTTTGCCTCTATCTTCCTTCCATCCCTTCACGCAATATTGGATGATTTTACAGAAAGAATACATGAGTAAAAGTATGCATTTTTCTGTTGTTATTTAGAAAATTAATGATACATTTAAAATAATGTAAAAGAAGTTTATTTCTCCTGGTAACACTATTTTGTTGGCTACAAATATGTCACTCTTAAAACTTCTCTTAAGGAAATGTTCAAAACCATAATGATTTGCTGTGAGCATCTTCATAGTTTCTTCATACAAAAAGGACACACCAACATGCAACAGTGGTAGTAAGATTATTTAGGAATTAAAAGAAGGGAAGCATTTTCAGTTCTGTAAATAGGGAAAAATAATATTACTTTATTGTTTCTTTGAGAGAAAAAAAGAAAAAACCAAAATTCACTGCCAGTGAGACAACTCTGAAGTGATCCTATAGGACAGGGTAGAACCACCCCATAGGACTTCCAAAGTTGTAATCTTTATGGAAGTAAACGGCCACATCTTTCTCCTGAAGAACAGCTGGTGAGCTCAAACCGTTGGCACTTCAGTTAGCATCAGAGTGATCAACTGCTGTGCCACCCACACTTCTTCTGAGAAATAATGTGTGGTATCTAATAAGTGATGTGGCACTGTGGGTTAATGCGCCAGACTGCAAAGCCGTTTCAACTGCAAGGTTGGCAGTTCAAGCTCACCAGCCGCTCCTTGGAAACCCTATCCAGGGTCGCTATGGGTCAGAACTGACTCAATGGCACTTAACAAAAACAACAACAATCTAATGAGTGACAGGATTGACTAATCTGTCAGTTGGAGAAGACTGACTTTTATTATAGCAGGGTAATCATAGTGTGACTTTCACCTGTCTATAAATTCATTCCTTCTGCCTTCAGAACAACAACGACAAAAAAGCTTGATATATGATTCAAAACCTCACTGTGAAAATGTGAGCATTGCTTCTTGCAAAGCGTAGTTGCTTTTTACTTAAATGACTCAAGGACTAAATATATTTTAGATATTTGCAAATGGGTTTGTTGATTTTTTAGATTACAACTTGTATCGTGTTGCGGCTCATGAATTGGGCCATTCCCTTGGACTCTCTCATTCTACTGATATTGGGGCTTTAATGTACCCCAACTACATCTTCAGCGGTGATGTGCAGCTCTCCCAGGATGATATCAATGGCATCCAGACCATCTATGGTGAGTAAAAGAAAAACACCGTGGATAAGAGGCCCTTGGTCTTTAGACCCATTTCAAATAGAACAGCCTTTAGTTCTAGCCTTAAGAAGGTTTTAATTGTTTATGTTGTTTTCAGGATCATCCTAGACTAATTCCAAATCTCTTGCTTTCTTTAGGAGCTTCCTCAAATCCACAGCAGCCAATAGGCCCCCAAACCCCACAAGTATGTGACAGTAAGCTTACATTTGATGCTGTAACTACAATTCGAGGAGAAGTGATGTTTTTCAAAGACAGGTAAGACATCAACTATTCTTTCTGTTCTGTAGTTATAATTAATAACAGCATTCACTGCCATGAACCCTGTGAGTTTCACATGGTAGTTACCTTCATTTGTTTACATTTGTAAGTATGTGAGAACAATGGCTTATTTGTATTCTATAATAAACTTATATCAACTCCCCTCGCCCCCCTCCACACACACACATACTCAGTTATGTCATTGGGAGTATGGTGGCTTCTCAGAACAAACACTGGACTGTGAACCACAAGGTTCTAACCCACCAGGCAGTCCATGGGAGAAAGATAAGGCTTTAAATCCTGCAAAGATTTAAAACCTTAGGAACCCTGTACAGTGTTGCTAGAAATGGAAGCCAACTGGACAGCATTTAATAGCAACAACAATTATGTCATTAAGGAACATTGTGGCTTTATAAGATAAGCACTGGACTAAGAACCACAAGGTCAGTGGTTCAAGCCCACTGGCCACTCCATGGGAGAAGGATGAGGCTTTTTACTTCCACAAAGATTTACAACCTCAGAAACCTTATACAGGGCCACTATGAGTCGGAACTGATTCAACTGCACTTAACTGTGTTATATCATTTGGTATTCAGAAAAATATTGTTGATAACACAATCTTGCAGTACTGTAAAAAAGTAAGGCAGAGAGAAAAATGACAATTGGCACAGAGTTTACTGATGAAAACAGTAATTGGTCTTCTGACTTGTACTCAGGGTCCCTTTTTGCTACACCTCTTTACAATGATAAGTATTTTAGTACTTTATTTGGAGTTATCAGTCTGTCAGCAAGTCGATGAGGGTGATGTAGCCTGGAGACCCAAAAGACAAGGTAATCCTCTAACTTTTGCATTTTCCATCCTGCAAAACATGGCCTTTTCAAAACCTGCGGTCCTAACAGGTCTCCATTATCTCCCAGAGAAGAGAGGTTGTAATTGCCTTGTGAATCCCCCCGAGTTCATATGCACCCCAATAAGCTGATGTGGGCAGTCACTATATTATGCTTCCCTCCTCCTGGGAGAAGGAGCCTAGTCTTCCCTCTGTGAGTGTGGATGCAAAACAACTGAGGTCCCTTCACACTTGGATTGGTTTGCTCTTTCTACCATACTTCTTTATTATTTTTGAGTGAATATGATAAGGCTGAATGTAAGCCATTCAGGGCCTTGCTCAATGCTGGGAAGTATGAAGATTTGGGGGAAGCAGGATGGGGAGTGTGTTTAAAGGAAAACTCTCAAGACAGCAGGGCATACATATCAAGACAAGCATTTGAGAGATTACTCCATGGGACAGGACCAGTCTAGGATTTGCAGGAACTGAAGAAAGAACACTGAGGTCATGTAAATGTCACCATGTCATGAAGATTCAGAAGCCTAGAAATGATACCTGAGAAGTCACTTGCCTAAGGCTAGACCTAGAAGTCAGATTCCTGATGGCCGAGGCCACATTCTCTCCTGAGCACCAATCCCTGTGTGGCCTTTTGTTCCTTCCCAACACTGGTTTGTTGAGGGCCTTCTGGAGTCTGGAATACTCTTCTGTATTGTACAATTGTTCCAGTCTCAATGGAGCATAGAATCAACTAAGTAAACCTCCAAACAAAGGGCAACAAAGCGACAGTCAACCACATTTGAATTTAAAATTTACCTTTGCCTCTTACCAGCTGCATGGACTTACATACGTCTGTTAGTCTCTCTGATGTTAATATTTCGTCTGTGAGTTGAGAGTAGTTGTCTCTTGTAGCACTTTTGTGAGGTGAGGAATGATGTATGCTTTGGGCCTGATGTGCTGTAAGAGCTCAATAAATATGGGATATTATTGTTGGGATCCAACCAATGGTATGCTGAATCTGATTCCTAATTGCCTCTCAAAGCCGAATATTAAAATTTAGAGGTGATTGCTTAATTTTAAAGGCCTGGCTGCAAAGCAAACCAGTATTAAAAATAAATAATATAGACTTATAATAAAATAAATGATAATAAAACAAAATTTAATGAATAATCAAAACCCATCTCTTCCTAATTATCTTATTACATTTTATCTATATTCTTCAGGAATTTCACAGAGAAATGGTGTTAAATGGTACACTACCATGAAGCCCCAAACCAAGACTTTGTTTTTAAAAAGGCAGATATCTACCAGGACACTACTGTTTTTGCTAAGTACTGTCAAGTCAGTTCCTAATCATAGCAAGCCTGTATAGGGTTTCTGAAGAGCAGCTGGTTGGTTTGAACTTCCAACATTGTGGTTAGCAGTCCAGTGCTTATTCTACAGGACTCTAGGTTGGTTGGTCATGTGCTGTGGAGTCAGTTCTGACTCATGGAACAGCTGGTGGTTTCAAACTGCTGATCAGCCTGACTCATAACCACTATGTCAACAGAGAGCCTTCCAGGATACTATTCAGGATACTATTTGTACCAGCAAAAGGAAGGAGCTGGATGTCAGCAAGAGATTGCTAAGGATTAGGTCAAAACTCTTTTTTTTTTCCTCCTCCAAAACAGATTCTACATGCGTGTAAATTCTTTCTATCCAGAAGTTGAACTCAATTTCATATCTGTTTTCTGGCCCCGTCTACCAAATGAACTCCAAGCTGCTTATGAAGTTGTCGATAGAGATGAAATTCGGTTTTTCAAAGGTAATGTCTCTGCGTATTTATTCACTGACTTTATGGATTAATTTTCCATGTGCTTTTGAGATAAGGTATAAGAGAGTATTGGTTATTATCTCTTCATGTTGTTGTTGTTGTTGTTAAGTGCTGTGGAGTCGGTTCCGACTCATAGCGACCCTGCACAGGGTTTCCGAGGCTGTAAATCTTTACGGGAGCAGAATGCCTCATCTTTCTCCCGCGAAACCGCTGGTAGTTTCGAACTGCTGACCTTGCGGTTCACAGCCCGATTCGTAACCACTACGCTACCAGAGCTCCCCATGGCCTTTCGAAAATCTAAGTTTCACAGACCAATCTAGGGGAATTGATCACCTTTATTTACAATTGAACGCTGCATTTCTGAGTCATTTAAAATAGGAAGCAAATGGCTAGAGATATAATTTTTCTAATCCATCTCTTTATGAATATGGCCTTTTTTTTTTTTTTTTTAACTTTTAATTGTGAATTGAGTAAAGGTTGTCTACAGAGCAGACTATCAATGCTACATTCAACCAGTCATAGACTTCAATGCATTCCAGTTATTACAATCCTTCGGTGGAACATCAGTTTCCTCCCTGTGATTTTTTTTCCATTTCACCTTCTTTCCCAATCCTTTTGAACTTTGTCCTTGAGTAAATGCTGCCCTTTGATCTTTAATGGTTGGACATTCCATGGTATGCATGGTTCCTTAGAGCTCTTGTTCCCATGTCCCTCCCTCCTATCCACCTATCAGTAAGCTAAAAACTGAGCTGTGAGGGATGAGTTCAGTTCCAAACCTGGAGGGTACCAAGGGCATACTCTCAGACTCCTCCATTCTAAGCCTGGTCTTTATTATTTTTTAAAAATAATTTTAGGTTATGTTTCATATTTTCTCTCACTCTATCCTATGAGTCTAAGGAGCTCTGGTAGCATAGTGGTTACGAATCGGGCTGCTAATCTCATGGTCAGCAGTTCGAAACTACCTGCTGTTCCGTGGGAGAAAGATAAAGCTTTCTGCTTCCGTAAAGATTTATAGCCTCGGAAACCCTGTACAGGGTTGCTATGAGTTAGAATCGACTCTATGGCACATAACTACAACATCCTATGAGTCTAGATTTTCATGAATGTATTCTGTGCAAAATATTTACGTATTTAAAACTGGTAACCAGTTGCCCTCAAGTTCATTATGACACATGGTGACTTCATGTGTATTAGAGCAGAACTGTGTTCCATAGGGTTTTCATTGGCTGATTTGAAGAAAGTAGATCAAAAGGCCCTTTTCCAGGCACCTCTGGGAGGACACAAACCTCCAACACTTCCATTTGTACCAATGTGATCCCCATGTATTTAAAACTTACCTCATATTTCTTGGGGGCACTCACAAATAAAACTAAGAGAGAGATCCAGGTCAATTTCTCAGGATATAGAATTGAAATTTTGGCTATTGTGATTTCCTAGTCCTGCTGTGACATTGTAGGATAAAGTATGAGACTGCAAGGTCGGTGGTTCAGAGCCACCAGCCGCTCCTTGGAAAGAGCAGCTGGTGTGGTGCTATAGGATCAGCAATGAACTGCAAACCCCAAGGTAAGTGGTTCAAATCCACCAGCTGCTCCTCGGAAACCATATACAGGGTCATTATGAGCCAGAATTGACTTGAAGACAACAACGATTATAGCAACAATAATCTAAAGGTGGGGCTCAAATGCCCACGGAGGTGCTGTGAAACTAGGGGCTGGTGATCTGCTTCTATAAAGATTACAGCCAAGATCTCTTCTGGAGCAATTCAACTGTCACACTTGGGATCACCATGAATCAGTACCTACTCAATGATATTGGGTTTTGACCTTTCGACAAAGACCTTCCTGAGAGTAGGCGAGGGAGTCAGATGGACAAGCTACAGTCTTGTCATCATCCAGAAGTCTGTAAGCAATACAAAATCTCTGGTCCTACTTCAGAGTTTCAGAGTCCTGGTGTGGCATTGTGGATTAATGTGCTGGACTGCAACGTCAGTTTGAACCTCAACGTTGGCAATTCAAGTACACAAGATGCTCCTCAGAAACTCTATGGTATGGGTCAGAACTGACTCAACGCACTTAAAAACAACCCCAGATTGTCTTTGACAGAAACTGAATTTTAACAAGATTTCCAGGAAATTTATAAGTACATAAAGAATAGTAAGTATTGGATTATTATCAATTGAATGCAACAAACAACTTTGATTCTATCAGAATGAAACACAGTCCAATGATAAGCTCCTGGCTGTAAGGACACTGTGCCATGTGCATGCATTCCTGCAAGCATATGTTTGGTACAGAGCAGACAAACATTAAGACACTTGACCCAGACATACATTGTTGTTGTTAAGTACTGTCAAGTCAATTCCGACCCATAGCAACCCTGTATAGGGTTTCCAAGGAGCAGTTGGTGAGCTTGAACTGCCGACCTTGCAGTTCAAATGAATTTGCAGTCTGACGCTTTAACCCACAGTGCCACACCAGACATACATTAAAGGCAAATAATTGAATTAAGTTAAGATGGGCAAAAAACTTTGAAATGGGCTTCTAAGCTTTTATTCTATGAAATTAAAACAGGTTCAAGCTGCTTTATTTGGAGGGGTATGTAAACATATTTGTGCAGAGAGCAATCCTGGCTTTAGGATATAAGGCAACTTTTATGTGATGTAGGGCTTGCTGAGATGAACACACAGAATCTGGACATAGCACAAGTTAAAATATTTGGAACTAATTCTAGTCAGATGTAATGGTTGAGCCAGGTTTGTAGTTCATTACAGGTTGTGCCCCTTAGAAGAAAATTGGTGTGAACTTCCTATGCCCATGGACAACCTAGAGAAGTGAGTTTTCTATCACTGAGCTGATGGAGTCTTGCCATTTCAACATCTGGCTCAAGAAAGAAGCCCTCATCCCCATAAACCTGTCATTCTCAATGCATACTGCAGATTAGGATCACCTAAATTGCTTGAAAAATATAGTGGCCTAATTGTTCAGGGCAGGATCTTGGATTCAATATACATATATTTCTTAAATGTGCACCCATGACACTGCGCTAGAATGTGAAATAGAGAACTTGCTGGAAACCTGCTTAACACTGTACCATCCTTTTATCTATTGCAGTTCTGAGAAAATAAATCTACATCTCTGTTTCTTAATTGACAGGTAGTAAGTACTGGGCAGTTCAGGGGCAGAACATGTTACGTGGATACCCCAAGGACATCCACGCATCCTTTGGCTTCCCTAAAACTGTGAAGAATATCGATGCTGCTGTTTCTGAAGAGTCTGGAAAAACATATTTCTTTGTTGCTAACAAGTGCTGGAGGTAAAGACTGATAGCAAGAAAATGTTAAGATTTCAGTGCTTTCTGCATAGAAAGAAAGTTGTGTGCATTTCAAAGTGAGTCTTCTATTGCCATGGTTCGCTTCCTTTTTTGACCATTTATCTTCATGTGACAATTGTCCTGGGAGTCAGGGAGCTTGGGGGACTGAATTTTAGAAGCAGGATGCAGAAAGAAGTCATACAACTTAAACAACTACTCAGTCAATAGGAACTATTTTTCATAGCATAGTGTGGAATCTACTGGGGAGCTAGAATTAGATATTGGAGTTCTGAGGGGCCTTATAAATCTTCTAGTCCACCCAACATCCTACCTTGCTTCATGGCACTCTCCATTTCACAAATGACCTATTAAATGAACATTTCTTATTCAATTCCTGCTGCTGAATTCCTTGTGATGATTTTGGCACATCTGTAGGTTTAGAGAATGGTTCTGACATTGCTAATTCTTTCTCTACCAGGTATGATGAATATAAACGATCCATGGATGCAGGTTATCCCAAAATGATAGCTCAGGAATTTCCTGGAATTGGCAACAAAGTTGATGCTGTTTTCAATAAAGATGGTAAGTGAATATATATGTATGTGTGTGCGTATTTTCTCATTTTTACCCATGGTAATAGCAGTATGATTATTTTTTGGAATTCCAAATGTTAAAAGAATGTGTGTTCATATATGACTTGACGTTTTCAAAAAATCCATGTTAAAACTGGAAACTACTTATATAATATAACAAGTCTCTCTTGTTTTTTTTCCTAGGATTTTTCTATTTCTTTCATGGAACAAGGCAATACAAATTTGATCCTAAAACGAAGCGAATTTTGACACTTCTGAAAGCTAATAGCTGGTTCAACTGCAGAAAGAATTGACCAACTGTTACAAGCTATTCAATGAAAAATTACATCTTGTGAGCCAAAGGAAGGGGTTTTCCTGAAGAACTGCATATTTTCTGTGTTTTACTTAACCCCAACTATCACCGATGCACAATGATCATATTCATTGAAATACAATTATATGTTGGAATATAATGTTTTAAGTATTGATATAATTTAAATATACAAATGAGGACATGGACAGTCATATGATTTACATGGGTCAATTAGTTTTGCAAAGAGAGCAAAGAGAGTGTAAGACTCGGACATTGATTCTGAACTGCAATTTCAGTGAAGGACACCTCCTCTCCAAAAAGAGATGACAGACACCTGCCTCCGCCAGAGAAAAGGCATTTCAAAAACATATGGCCAGTCATTATTATCATTTGGATGCTCGAGGAACAACTTTTGTTACAAGAAATAAAGTATTTATGTTTGCAATAAAGCCATGCTTGTCTCCTCTGCTTCATATAAATTTTCTAATATTTTAAATCTTTCAAAGACAAATTATTTCCTGCTTTGAATGTTTGCTTAAGCCATGTGTTTCCAGTAATGAAAGACATTTTTAATGAAATGAAAAACCTTTTTCAGGTAATATGGATTTTGATACATTGTTGTTGTTAAGTGCCATCAAGTAGGTTCTGACCCATAGTGACCTGTGTATAGTATTTCCGAGGAATGGCTGCTGAGCTTGAACCGTTGACCTTACGGATCAAACCAATTTTGCAGTCCAGTGCATTAACCCACAGTGCCACACCAGGACTGATACATTTGTTGTTGTTGTTGTTAGGTACCATCGAGTCCATACAGACTGAGAGAGACCCTATGCTCAACAGAATGAAACACTGCCCGATTCTGGGCAAATCTCACAATCGTTATGTTTGAGCCCATTGATGTGGCCACTTTGTCAATCTATCTTGTTGGGGGTCTTTCTCTTTTTCTCTGACCCTCCAATTTACCAAACATGATATCCTTCTCCAATGACTGGTCCCTCCTGACAATATGTCTGAAGTTTGAAAGACGAAGTCTGGCCATCCTGGCTTCCAAGGAACACTCTGGCTGTATTTCTTCCAACACAGATCTATTGGTTCTTCTGGCAGTCCATGGTAGTTTCAATATTCTTCTCCAACACCATAACTCAAATGTATCAATTCTTCTAAGGTCTTCCTTATTCATGGTCCAACTTTCATATGCATGTGAAGTTATTGAAAATATTATGGCTTGCATCAGGCTCACCTTAGTCCTCAAACTGACATCTTTGCTCTTCAACACTTTAAAGAGGTCTTGTGCAGCAGATTTGCCCAATGTAATGCATCATTTGATTTCTTGACTGTTACATTAGTGGGATACATATGTCTTGCTGGGCATCTAGTGGTGGGGTTGGTGGAAAGAGGGCTATTTCTTTAGATTCATGCAGTTATGCAGGCTCCTACCAGATTCCAGCATGCAGTAATAGTAAACAGCAGCTTCCTACTGAAGCCCAGAGTCAGAAAATATAGGTGGGAACTATGTGTTCCATGGGTCATGACTGAGGTAAATTCTTTCTTAATTATAAAGCCACACAGATTAATATTCAAATTTGAAAAGAGAAGTAAACAAACACATAATACATTTATGTAAGAAGTTGTTGTTAAGTACTGTTGAGTTGGTTCCAGATCATAGCAACCCTGTATAGGGTTTCCCAGGCTTTAAATTAGGTGGGTAGGGAAACATCTTTCTGCCAAAATTTATATCATTTGCAGGCCATATAAAATTACCTGCTTAAAAATTGTCTTGCTATATTTGGTCAAACATTTAATTAGCTCACCCCTAATGTGATGTCTGGAAATGCAGTTGCCTTGGCAGGGACAAACTAAATGATTTTGTGGATTGGATGTTCCCCACACCTGCTTAAATCTTCATGGGAACAGAAAGCCTTATCTTTCTCCCACAGAGTGGCTGGTGGGCTTGAACCACAGAACTTGTGGTTCACAGTCCAGTGCTTATCATATAGAGCCACAATGCTCTCATGTAGGAAGTTAGGATACACAAAAAGTTCAAACATTCTCTGTTATCAAAGAATTTATGTCATATAAAACTAATAACCAGCTGCCGTTGAGCTAATTCTGAATCATGGTGATCCATTGTATGTTAGAATAAAACTGTGTTCCCTGCTGGACTCAAACTTTTAAACTTTGAATTAGCAGCATAGTTTATTAACCATTTGTAAGACTCCTCTTAAATCATATAGATTGGGAAAAGACTATTTCCTATGTCCCAAATAATGATTCCAGAATTGGTTTTAGATTAACCAAAGGCAGCATGGTAGAGCTTCTTAGTGTCTTCTGACAACACAGGACAGTACATTTCCTCACGGTTGCATGTATTGAGGGGTGAGGCTGTGATTAGTTCTGGCCAGTGGGCTGTGCACAGGAGTGACTGACATCTCTTCCAGATGGAAAATTTGATTGTTGGTGCAGGTTTCTTTGATGTTCTGCTTCACTGCTGTGGTGAATGTAGGAGTAAGTCTTGAGACAGGCTCCACAGGACCAATAAGCTGGAATTGCTGGGCCACATCTCAATAGACTTTACTTCAGGAACAAATGAACTTTTGTTGTGTTAATCCACTGAGATTTTAGAGTTAATTAGAGCTGAATGAGCAGCTTCATCTAGATAAGTACGATGCAGTATTTTATTACTAATTCAGAAAGATGTTAAGGTAAGTAAAGAGGCCCTTGTTGTTAGGTGCCATTAAGTCAGTACCGACCCATAGCGACCTTATGCACAGCAGAACAAAACACTGCCCGATCCTGGGCCAACATCACTATTGTTGCCACGCTTGAGTCCATTGATGCTGCCACTTGGCTAATCCATCTCGTTGGGGGTCTTCCTGTTTTCCTCTTACCCTTCCACCTTATCAAACATGATATCCTTCTCCAGTGACAGGTTCCTCTTGACAATATGTCCAAAGTATGAGAGACAAAATTTGCCCATACTGGCCTCCAAGGAACACTCTGGCTGCACTTCTTACAAAACGGATCTATTGGTTCGGCAGCCTATGGCACTTTCAATATTCTCCTCCAACACCATAACTCAAAAGCATCAATTCTTCTATGGTCTTCCTTATTCACTGTCCAGCTTTCACATGTATATGAGGCTATTGAAAATAACATGGCTTGGGTCAAGCACACCTTAGTCCTTAAGCTGACATCTTTGCTCTTCAACACTTTAAAAAGGGTTTATGCAGCATATTTCCCTAATGCAAATCTGGGTAGTGCAATAGTACATGTGCTTGGCTGCTAACTAGAAATTAGAGGTTAAAGTCCACCAAAGACACCTTGGAAGTAAAACCTAAAGAGTTACTTTTGAAACTAAGCCATTAAAAACCCTTTAGAGCACAATTCTACTCTAAAACTCATGGGTCAATGTGTATCAGAATTGACTCAATGGCAAATGATTTGGTATAATGTAGGTAGAAATCCTGCTGATGGCCTCCCAAGCCCATGAGTTTTGTGAGTTATTCATTGAATGCTTAAGGGAATTTGTAGACTTTCTAGGTACAAGGAGACTCTTAAGTATGATTCTGAGGTTAATAGTATAGTGGCTCTGTAGGATAAGCACTAGACTGAGAACCACAAGTTGACAGTTAAATCCCATCAGCTGTAGTGTGGAGAAAATGATGAGGCTTTCTACTCCTTCAAAGATTTACAGCCTTGGAAACCCTTTACCGGGTCAGTACAGGGTCGCTATGAGTCAGAACCGACTCCACAGCACATAACAACAACACTAATGAGGTAGAACCAACTAAATAACTTATCTAGCCAAGTCACTCTCAAATAAACTTTTATATTAAAATATAACATAAATTTAGAAAACTTATCAAATCTAACAATCCTGGGTTGATGAGTTATAACAAAGTTGACAAACCCATGTAACTCTCAATCAAGTTAAACAGTAGAATAGTACCATTCCAAAAGCAGGCCCTGCTTCAAGCCTCTTTCACCATTGGTCAACTCTTGTCTCAGGTTAATTCATTAGAACCACAGCCTGAGACAGGGATTCTTAGGTGGAGTCTTTGGAGCTAGAGTATTCTCAGGAGAAGGGAGTAAGGAAAACATTTTAGAGAAAGGAAAAATCTAACCAAAAATGTGACCTCAGGTGGAGAGTGTTCTCATCTCATGAGAAAACTCTGAAGCAAAAATTGCACCACAGAATTAGTCCACACCCTTTGAGACCAGCAGACGGTGGTTTCACCATTTTCAAAGGATAGGCTGTGGCCCTATCCTTTGAGACTGCGCAGCCTGTTTCCTGTACACCTTGTTTTTCAACTTCTACTTCCTGATTCCATGATTTCTCAGCCTCTTAGACTTCTTGATCTGGCCAGACCTCTGCTGATAAATACCTAGAGGTATTTTGCTCTGTCATAAGGGGCTCAGCAAGCCTACCTCTGTTGACAAGTACCTGGAGCTACTACTTCACTTTGCCAGGAAGCCTCCTGCCTGATAGCACTTAGTTCTCACTCCACGGGCCAGTTCCTGTGCACTGGTCTTCTGGTTCTGACATTGTTTCTCTGCCACTGTTTGTTGCAGTCTGTACTGTCTCTGATGTTACAGCGGTCTTCACTTCCTTCTAAATTACCTACAAAATTGCCTTTGACACATGTACGCCCACTAACAATTTCTTTAAGACAAACTAGGGTTTTACAGTTGTTGCTGTTACAGTTTTGTTGTTGTTGTTATTATGTGCCATGGAGTTGGTTCCGACTCATAGAGACCCTGTACAGGGTTTCTGAGGTTGTAAATGTTTACAACAGCAGAAACCCTCATCTTTCTCCAGTCAAACAGCTAGTAGTTTCGAACTGCTGACCCTGAGGATAGAAGCCCGATTCAAAACCACTACACTACCAGAGTTGTTACTGTTAAGTTTCATCAACTCAGTTCTGATTCATACCAACTTTGTATAGGGTTTCAGAGGAGTGGCTGCTGGGTTTGAACCGCTGATCTTTGGTTAGCAGTCCA